TTTAAGGTTAATTTGTGTGTGGTAGGGGAATTCTGGGTCCACCTACATATGGTTGCTGTGAGAGCATGCAATAATAAAGAATTGCTGGACTGAGAGGAAAAGATGTGAGTACTGTTGCTGTCACCACCATAAACTAGTTGTCATCTTCAGCCAGCAGTTGGCATAACCTTTCTTGGGATGCGTATTCTTATCTGAAAGCTGGGGATGGCAAGGGGTGGGGTGCAGTTAATCACTTTGCTCCATTCCTGCTCTCATGTGTTATCAGGCAGTACAACTTCATTCTCATGTCCCTTGGTGAGTTTGTCCAAATTGCTAGACTTTTTAATGGACCCTTCTAGATACTTCTAGCTTAAACAGACCCTTTCAGGCCTTCTCTGAGAAGAGGTCCCTTTTCTTTTAATCTGCAAGTTCCTTCAGATCACCCTTTTTTCAGGATCATATTAAACCATCCACATTTTCAACGCTTCAATCCAAGTTTCCAACAGTGTACTTGAGCCCACTTTGATCTCAGGAAGGCTAACATATTTTTTTCCTCCTTTGGGCTCAGGCCCATGCCTTGATATTTCTGGACGAGCCTATTGCCTCTTCTTCACCAGCCCAGAGAGTTCTTCATGGCTTTACCTTGGGGTCCAGCCTTGAGTTTCTCCATTCTCCGTCAGCCTACCTTGAACAATCCTGGCCTGCATCAACATTTGATCATCAACTGTTTCTCTAGCTTCCTCTCCATCACCACTGTTTTTATTCCATCATAATCTTTATGACCATTTAATTTTGAATTTCTAAACTTTGTTTTATTTTCCTATTTCATATCTTCATGTTATCATTTGTGAAGGAGTTGAAACTACTTCATGTGCCTCAGTTTACTCTTGCTTCATCTGTTTCCCCTCTTATCACTCCTCAAGTATCATCAACTCTTTTTATTTTCTGTTTTTATAAGATACAACATTTGTACATCTTTATACAATCCAGCCTTGGGCTTATTTTGTCTATATACTTAGATTAAGCCCTCAGAGTTGAAGGTCTTTGAGCGATATGGAAGTATAGTTCTTGACCCATTTTGGGTACTTTATTTTGACTGACAAAGACAAGAGGCCCCTTTAGCCTATTATATTCTTTCCTTAAAACTTTAAAATATTTGGCCGGGCACGGTGGCTCACGTCTGTAATTCCAGCACTTTGGGAAGCTGAGGTGGGTGGATCACGAGGTCTGGAGTTCGAGACAATCCTGGCCAAAATGGTGAAACCCTGTCTCTACTAAAAATATAAAAATTAGCTGGGTGTGGTAGCATGCACCTGTAGTTTCAGCTAGTTGGAAGGCTGAGGCAGGATAATTGCTTGGACCTGGGAGACCGAGGTTGCAGTGAGCTGAGATCACACCACTGCACTCCAACCTGGCAACAGAGCAAGACTCCTTCTCAAACAAAACAAAACAACTTTAAAAGATTTAAGAAGTCAGCATTTATATTTAAACGTATAAATTTCAGCTTCCTTCTTAGGGCTTCCCTTAATACCAATATAATTTTGGTTGGAGGAATATTTTGCAGTCTGTGATATCTCAGATTGCAATACTTTCCAGCCTGCTGTTTCCTGCACTTCTCCTTTAGCTCCTTCCATTGAGAATTCTCCCCAGGCAGCATTTTCAGGCTTTCAGTGCTCATTTCAGGTACTTTCTGCTCTGCTGTACCTATGCATGCTTGAGGCTTTGCCCTAAGCTCATGTGACCTGCACAACTAATTCAGGTTCTCAGTCTAGGCTTATTACTGTTGAACCCAAGAGAATGATATATTGCCCAGACTCTTGCACACTCACTGCCGGCCAAAGGTACATCCTGGGGTCATGTATTATGCTCCTGGTTAGCACATTGGGCAGGAAACAAGATATCCACTGTGGCTGTGACCAGGTACAGAGTCTCTGCTTATCTGAAAAACAGTTCTTCTACTTTACCACCTGTCGCCAGTCCTGCCCTGCTACTGTGTCCTTGGTAGCCAGCTCCCCACCCTTTACTTAGAAAGCGTTCCCAATCTCTACCAGTAAGATAAATGGGGCAAAACAGGAAGCTGCTTCTGTGTGGCTCAAGGCTCTGCTATACATGTGTTTGTATCAAATGTCTGAATTTTCTCCCTGAAGAAACAGAAAATCTTGGGACAGATCTTTTGGTGAGATTTAGATGTTACATAGCTCCTAACAAGGCTTTTTATTTATAAATAGAAGTACTTAAAGCCTTTAGGACATAGATACTTCCAGAAAGGGTTTTAAGTTTATCTGATTTCTGTACATGTTTTTGCACTGACTAAATGTTAAGTAGTTCTAATACAGTGTGATACAATGGGTTGGAAGTTAAGTGGCTGTTACATGTGTAGTTCACAACGGTAGAAGACAAATAACCTGTGTCTTCTCTATAATCACAGATACTTAGCATAAGGACAAAGGTGCTTTTAATATATTTTTATCATGCAGCTCTCTGAAAGTGGGCTTCTATGCAATGCAGGAGTTCAAACTTCCTAACCAGGACTCTGGTTCAGTAGGTCTGATGAAATCACTGGAGCTCCTTTAGCAACTGAATTGTTTGCATGTCATAAAATTATGATTTTCTTCTAAGGCAAATATTTATTTAGTGAGAAATGTAGGTGTGCACAGTTAAGGCTTGTGCCTTCCTCATGGTGTATTTCCTTATGAAGTTCATTAGTCTCTGACTCTAGGCAACGTGATATTACAGGAGTGGCACAGACCTTAAATGTCACAAGATCTGAGTTCAAGCCATGGTGTAGCTAATTACCCTCGAGTTGTAAGACTTCAGGCTCAGAAGCCACTCGGTGTGCCAGAGGTGTTTTACCTATAAACCTGAGAGAGATTGGGGTAAGTTTTAGATCAGGTCATTTCTAAGGACTCTTTTAGCTTCAAAATCTCAAATTAGTATTTCTAAATGCCATTTTACCAACTTTTATATAATTACTTGCCCATTTAACCAAACTTAGAAAATGCAGAAAATTATGAAGAAAAAAATATATGCTCTTTCATTCCCTAACACAGATAAAATCATTGTTCATGTTCTGGAGTATTAGCTTCCTTTTTTTCTGAGCAGTTATATCTAAGAATGCCTAAAACAGTGTGTGTATATAAATTCAAAAATTAGAATCATTTTCCTGGGGCACCTCTTTCATAAAATGAGTTTTGTTTTACTTAACATTGTCCCATGTCATCTAATTAGGACTTAGAGTTTTTATCCCAAACTAGATTTCCTTGATCACTTCTGCAGTTTCTTTGGAATTTTCCATATTGAAGACAATGTTACAGGCATTTGCCAAACTAAGCATGCCTGGCTTGTGAATGCACTGTAAGTGCAGTGAGTTGACTCCATTCCAGAGAACAAGCAGTAGAAAGATCCCAGAGCACTCTGCCTTCTTGCTGTCCCTGCATGGGTAGAGACTGCCATGGCCAGGGGTCAAGGAGGAGGATGAGGGATGACCCCTAAAAAATGACATTAGCTTGTGACATAACAGTTTTTTCCAGTTGTCTTGAAAGCCCACCAATCCACTGGGGAATGACCTCCAGAAATAGTTTTGCCTGTGCACAACCAGAGGAAATTGGGCTGACTCTGAGCAAAGGGATAAAGAAGGAAAACTTGGTAACCAAGCCTTTTCTTTCTGTTCTCTGCCTCCCTCCTCTACCCCCCCTCTTCCTCTCTTTGGCATTTCTCTTTACCCTCCCTTGCACCCCAGTTATCACTTTCTCCTCCATGGGCTTGCTGCATTTTGTTCATGCTGCTGATAGAGTCTTTATCTCATATTACTAATTGGAAAATTTGGGCAGCAGTTGTTGGGGGTGGAGAGAAGCAGGGTAGGTTATCATGGCCCTACTCATAAGAAATTTATGTTGCCTCACCTCCATATGCGTTCAGCATTGGAAGGAAATCTTAGCTAAGGTTAGAACAATATGTGAAGCTGAAATATTACTGAACATTTAAAAATTATTTTCCACTATTATAACTCCGTGTCTCCTGAGATAACACGTTATGTTAGGGTTTATGTATAAGCTACTCTTTCTTTGGAAGTGTGTTAGAAAATTACCATATGGATAATAATTAAAATGTTCTTCCTTAAGTGTTTTGAGAAACAGGAATCAAATATCAGGCCCTGTGTCCCCCCGACCTCCAGGGACCGAGACAGCTCCCTGGGTGGCTCATCTGAAGCCCCTCATATCAGCAACTTACTCAAAAATGGCTCAGGATGAAAGGTCTTTGTACTATACTGGTAATTTTTCTAAACATTTGAGATTGTCTCAAAATTATAAAAGAAGCAGATTTATACACACACACACACACACTAAACATGTAGATACATATTTTAAAAATATGAGGATGTGTGTCATACTATACAAAGCCTATAACCCGAGTTTTTCACTTAGCAGTATGTTATAAACATCATTGTATTAATAATATATGCAGTCTGTTTAACCATTTTTAAAAGCAAATATGCTTCATTGTAGGTATATACTTTAATTAACCAAACTTCAAAAACAAATTATTTTCCACTATTTGTTTGCTTGCTTGTGTTTTTGATGACAATATGAGTTATATTGGTTTTGGTGGCCTTGCTTGGAATTTAAACACCAGAGAGCCTATATTAAGCAATCCTACATTAGTGGGAAGTTTTACTACATCACTACATGTACTGTAAAGTCAACTCCTTTCTGATTCTAAAGTTCTATGATTTGTAGCATTGTTTCCATGAGAAAGTGTATTCCACGTTCTAAACAGCTGAGTTTTGGAACTCAGCTCCTTTGAGAGTTGTGAACCACTCAGACACAAAATTATCTTTAAATATACAGGTAGGTGTATGTAATTTGTGTTATATTTAGATAATAATAATAAAACTCACCGCCATTTGAGCCCTTATTATGTGTCAAGGGCTATAATAAGAGCCTCATATACTCACTTGTTCCCGTCTTCACCATGATTCTTTGAGGTAGGCTTCATTATCTCCATTTTACAGATGAGGAAGCTGAGGCCCAGCAGAGCTGAGACGTGACTGCAGAACCATCCAACCCCAGTCTTGTGACCTTTCTCTGCTGCCGCATACCTCTCAGTGTCGGGTTTGAGGATCTTTTCTCTTTCTGCTTCAGCTCCAAAGGTCCTTCTAGGAGAGAGGTGAAAGGTAATTCTTTTGAAAATACCTATCTTAAAGCAGTATTACTTTAGAGACCCATTGATTCCCTTTGATGGAGCCCAATACCATACTGGATCTTTGCTGTTTCTGAGTGGTGTGAATGGGCAGCTGATATGGGTGGCCTCAGGGGCCTATAGAAGAGGTGCCCCAGGAAAATCTGACACAAAAGAACTAACTGCAAGATTCAGATAAACATACTCAAAATGGTCTGAAATAGAGTGGTCAACAGTGATGGATAGCAGGTCTCTCTCTTTTTAAAAACAGATTTAATTATAGTATTCACACAAATATCACTTAAAATAGGAGCCAGCATGTTTGTTCAGTCACTCATCAGCTATCAGACTTTGAGTGAACCTCTTGTACCAGATTTTGTCCTAGGCCCCAGGAGGGTATGAAAGTGGATGAGACATAGTCTCTGCCTTCAAGGGGCTCAGAACCTAGTGGGGAGCAGGCCTAGAAACCTTCAGATCCTCTGTTGTTCATTTGAAAAAGAGCCAAAATGCCAAAACTTCCTTTTTTTTTTATTTTTGAAACAGGGTTGTTGCTCTGTTGCCCAGGCTAGCATGGTGCAAATATAACTCATTGCAACCTCAACCTTCTTGGCTCAAGCAATCCTCCTGCCTCAGCCTCCTGAGTAGCTGGGACTACGTTTGCATACCACCATGCCTGGCTAATTTTTAAAGTTTTTATTTTAGTGTGAAGTTGGGGTTTCATTGTGTTGCCCAGGCTGGTTTCAGACTCCTGGGCTCGAACATCCAGCCTCAACCTTACGAACTGTTGGGATTACAGGCATGAGCCAGACTTGGCCCAAAGTATCTTTTAATGTCAGTTTTGAATGAGCTTTCATAAGAACTGTACGTATGAGTGAGGAGAAATACCTTTCAGGTGGTGTAGATTTGGTAAGCAGTATTTCCAGTATCAGAAAGACTTGGTCAGTGTATGTTGACTTACTAAAACCCCTGGCATAGAAGGATGATGTGGCTGTTGACTTTTCCACATTTGTTTAACCAAAGTGCCAGTTTATTGAAGATGAGTTCCATGTCATGTTTTACTGCCTTGCATGTTAAGATTTGCTTTTCATGACACATAAGACAATGGGAGATTGAATGGGTGGAGTTAAAGAGGCCCCTGTCCTTCCATTGATACTCCTTGAGTTTCCTGCTGAGTATGGGTTGAGGCTCTGGTCTTCTCAGCTTGGTGCCAGATAAGTGTGCTGGGAATCCTGTTATGGTGACATCTAAGAAGACTCAGAAGACACAATATTGGGAACTCAGTCAGAGCTTGTTTCAGGAGGATCAGAGCTGAGCTTGGTGGTGGTTCCCAGTGATAGGCATTCCTTCCTGAAACACATTTGTCTTCCTGAAAAGGGAGGAAGGAATAAGAATGAGAACCACTGATGTAGGCAGGAGGTCTATAGCCTCAGTTGCCATAGTGACTGAAGGCTCTGCATGGCCTGGCCAAGGGTGGACAATGTTACAAGGTGAACCCACAAACCACAGTGGTCTTTATCCTCAAGCTGGGGCATGCTGGGCCTCATTTTTGGAAAGCACATTTTCCATGACATGTGCTAGCACAATGGGGTTTTATGTGTAATCTGCTTGAACAAATAGGTTTCACAGGAGGCCATTAAAAAACGACTTCATCAAGTCTCCCACTCTTCCTTTAAAATTTATTTAGTGGAAAGCATTTCCTCTGTTTTTGGATGAAAACATATCACATGGCTATTCTGATTCCTCATATATAATAAAAAAGCCCCACTTTAATTTGCCAGATACTTAAAATGTCTAGTATCAAGGGATAGTCAAAGCTTCCAACTTCATTCATATGTATAACTGTTCCCCTTCCCCTGGCTAGGGCCTGTTGCAGGGAGAAGGGGCTGTGGTTGGAGGCTTTTTCTCTTGCTTACTCAGTAGCTGTGACTTCTGTGCTGGGTTTAAGGGCTGGGTGGGGAACAGGAAGGAGTGTAGGAAAGTTTTTACTTGGGAGGCGGTATCATAGAAGAGCTCTCTTTGTGTTGTGTGTGTTTACAGTTGATTCTTTCTCTTGCAGGGGCCCTTTTGTGGGTTCTTTGGAGATACCCTGTCACCTTGTCTCTGGGGCCTCTTCCAGTTTCCTTGGTGGGGCTGCTGCGTTCTTCAGCCTAATCGCAGACTCCTTCCACAGTCTCTAGAAAGCCCACCAATCCATTTGTACTCCTGTCTGCTGGGTTCTATTGCTGCCCAGGTGGCCCTTGTTGGGAATACCCTAGTGTATAGTCCTGTATATATGCTCATGGTGTGATCCATGGGAAACACTCACACCTCTTTGTTCCCACGAACAGGGAGAGGACAGGCTGCTCCCAGTGCAGGTCTAGTTTCTTTTGGCTTGTCCATCAGCATCCAGCCAGCTCTCCAGTTCTTCAGATTCCTTAGGCCAAAGTCCCAAACAAGGTCACAGTGCCTTCCATATCATAAGAGTCTCACAGTTTCCAGGTAGTCCTGTTGAGTCCCTCGCTAGGCTGGAAAGGAGAGAAGCAAGAAGAGGATACTCTTACCTCTCCCTAAGCTTAGTCCTTTAGGCTAGGACCAGACTGCAGCCCACTTGCTTCAAACACTCTCTCCTTTTAACCGCCAACAAAGAGCCCGACCTACTTGTAGCCTCACCGTGGGTAAGAGGTTTAAGACCAGTGAAGAGTGTTTTGGGCTATGTTCTTTGAAAAACTGCATCTAGACCTGACATTTCACTTTGGAATCTGGTATCTCATCCATCTTAGTGGCTTGGTTGACGCATCCCATTTTGACATTCTTTAATACCTTTTTGGGAAGCAGGGCTTATCCTTACTCTTAGAGATACACACGACACATAGCATAGAAAAGGCTTTCTGGTCTCCTGTCCACTTTGCTCCAGCCTCTTCCTCTCCTGCCCTCTATCCTGCCTCAGGGCCTGTGTTCCACCCAGGAAGCTCACTCTCTGCTGCCTGCTCCCACTTTGTGTTGCCACCTCCTTCTGTTCCTTTAGGATTCTTAAATGTTCCTTCCTTAGTAAAGACGTCCCTGCTCAAACCCCACCTAAGTAGATCTCCCCTGATTTTCTGTTTTCTTTTACTGTAATTCTTTATTTTACTCATAGTACATCTTATATTATAGATGATAATGCTTCCAAATAAGTTATTCAAGCTATTTAGTGTCCTTCTCTCACATCAAATGGTAAGCCCCATAAAGGAAAATCCATGTCTGTTTTATTCGGTAATAGAAACCTAACCAGTGCTCACTAAATATATGTTGAATAAATAAATGAAAGCATGAATTTAAAAGTTACCTTTGTTTAAGCTGTTCTTTCCCAAATGTCTCTCTTCTTTTGTGTTAACTCTTTTTTTTTTTTTGAGACAGTGTCTTGCTGTGTCGCCCATGTTGGAGTGCAGTGGTGTGATCTCAGCTCACTGCAACCTCCATCTCCTGGGTTCAAGCTGCTCTTGTGCCTTAACCTCCTGAGTATCTGGGACAACAGGCATGCATCACCATGCCCAGCTAATTTTTGTATTTTTAGTAGAGACTGGGTTTTGCTGTGTTGGCCAGGCTGATCTTGATCTTCTAGCCTCAAGTGGTCCCCCAACCTTGGCCTCCCAAAATGTGTTTGCTCTAAACATATAGATACTTAGTTATATGGCATACACAGAGTTTAGGAAGTGCTGAGACAAGGCTTAATTTTTGGTATATTTTTCTGTTCATTACCTCCCCTCACCCATTCCATCCTCTCTCTGTCTCACTTTCTTTTTCCCTCTGGCTCTTTTTCTCTCACTCTCTTCTAACAAGAACTTAGTTTGAGGCAAGTGGAGCAGAGGTGCCACGCTATTTTACAGATACCCACACTAAGGAAAATTAGCTGTGAGATCACCTAAGGGGTTAATGGCAGGCATGGCCGAGAGCTCAACACTTCCATCTCTCTTCTGGTCTTATCCTCTCTCTGCCTTTCCTGCAGTCCTTCGTGTCCAGCTGTCCTTTGCCCTTGCAGCAAGGCCTGGCTTATCACTTCCAGATCATACCGAGATAGCAGCAGCCTGGCCTCAAGCTAGAATGGAAAGACTAGTTCCCAGGCCAGAATCTGTCTTGCATGGTACACAGCAAGAGAAATTCTCTTCAAGATGCAGCCCATGAAAGCAGCATGTTTACAGGTAGTAGATCCCCAAAGTTGTCATAGCCTCCCCCGACCCCCACACCCTGGACCCATCCCTGCCCTCTGCCCACACAGTTGGGGGTTCATAGGCTATGAGAACGTCTTTCTCTTTAGGTAGAATAGAAGCTGGATTCTGAAGGAAGGTCTTGAACTAGGATTGATGATTATCTCACCTCTCATTCTTTCCCTGCCTACTCCATAGACGGTCCTAACTCTGGCCACAAGTCAGAGAATTTCACATTCCTTCTTTAACAAGTTTTACTCCGTATAAGGCCCTGGAAGCAGTCTAGAATCCCTGGGTGACAACTTGGGTGTACTTGCTTCAGGTGGAGGAGGAGGCTTATCTCATATGTGCACATTCTTCTGGTGTGTCCTATCTGGTTATTATCAAATTGAAACTGCAGCAGTTGACGTTTGTTGCTTAATTACTGCCTGTTGATTGTAAAATAACAGACCACCAATTTTGTTGGTTAGTTATTACTGCCATATCGTTATAAAGTGCATGCTGTAACATGGCAATATTTTCCTTTATGCTGTCTTTTTGATGAGTATCGTTATTTACGCTAATAATGCCTTGCATTTGAAATATGCTTCAGCGTTAACACAGCACTTTCATTTTATTATCTCATCTGGCTCTGTTGTAAGGAAATGCAAGCAGGCAACTAATTTTAGGAGAGTGGGAGGTAAAATTTTTATTCTAGATATTACTTTACTCTAAACTTTGGCATAATATAACTTTTTTTTACAGTAAGTACTTATTACTTTAGTTAAAAAATTAGAAGTGAATTTTAAAATTGTGTTATTTGCTGTTTTTTTATACCTTGTCATAATCTAAAAAGTAGAATACTAGAAGACATATTCAGTCCAGGATCATATAAAATCATAATATCTTAGTTAGAAGCCACTACTCTAGAATTTGATCCATAATATGGCTTTACACTACATTATAAGGAAATGGATTGTCCACCCCAGAGTTTTCTTAGCATAGAGACCTCATTTAGGTATTTATTTAGGTAAAACTCATAGAACATAAAATTAACCATTTTAGTATAAAAATGGAGGTGACCATCACCTCTATTTAGTTCCAAGATACTTTCACCATTCCAAAATAAAATCCCATCCTCAGTAAGCAGTCACTCCTCATTTCCTACCCCCTGTAGCCCGAGGCCACCCCTAATCTGCTTTCTGTTTCTGTGGATTTAACTGCTCTGGGTAGTTCACATAAAAGGAATCACACGGTCTGTGTCATTTTGTGCCTGGCTTCTTTCACTTAGTGTAATATTTTAAGGTTCATCTACATTGTGACATGTGTCAGTGCTTTATTCCTTTTTGGAGCTGAATGCCCAATATTTTTAACATCAAAACATTTCTGGGATTATGGAAACTCCAGCCCCCACAGACACACAGGCCCACCGTATCCTTCCCTCCACTGGCAATAACTTCCTCTCACAGCAAGTGTGGGATTTTAGTCCATAATAAAGTACAAATGCTAAAGAAGCATGTGCATTTATAGCTGTAATTTGCTGCATTTTACTTTAGACTCAGAAATGAAGGTTCTAGACAGTTCTATGCAAAGATTCCAGGTGATTGTATTCTTCAGACACTCATATTATGAAAGTTTGTGCCATCATGATTTTTAAAGACAGTGCTTAGAATACTCCTGGATTTGTAGTTTTCTTGCAGTAGGCCCTACTCAGAGGCTGGGTTTCAGATTTTTTTTTCTTTTGAGACAGAGTTTCCCTCTTGTTGCCCAGGCTGGAATAATCTTGGCTCAGTGCAGCTTCTGCCTCCCAGGTTGAAGCAATTCTCCTGTCTCAGCCTCCTGAGTAGCTGGAATTACAGGCATGTGCCACCATGCCTGGCTAATTTTTTTTTTTTTGTATTTTAATAGATACCAGATTGGTCAGGCTGGTCTCAGAACTCCCAACTTCAGGTGGTTCACCCACCTCAGCCTCCCAAAGTGCTGGGATTACAGGCGTGAGCCACTGCACCCAGCCGGGTTTCAGATCTTTTCTTCAGCCTTTGCAGGTTGCACTGTATAAAGGAAAAAGAATGAGCTTCTGAGGTGGACAGAGCCTTTAACACTTGTTAGCCATTTGTCCTTGGGCACATGACTTGCAGTTTCCTCATGGCAAAATGGGAATAATAATATCTACTTATGGTAGATAGCCACAAGATATCCACATCTTAATTCTTAGAGCCTGTAAATGTTACCTTATTTTGAAAAATGGTCTCTGTAGATGCGGTTGAATTAAGAATTTTAAGGGAATTACCCCTCAAAATTACCCCTCACTCAGGTGGGCCCTAAATGTTTCACAAGCATCCTAACAAGAAAGAGGTGGAGGGGGACAGAGAGGGACATGCAGGAGAAGGTGATGTGAAGACATAGAGAGTGAAGTGATGCGGCCACCAGCCAAGGAGTGCCATTGCTGGCAGCCACCAACAGCTAGAAGGGGCAAGGAACAGAGTCCCCCTGGAGCCTCCATAGAGAGCATGACCCTGCCAGCACCTCAGGTTCAACTCAGTGACATTTCTAGCCTCCAGAACTAGGAGAGAATAAATGTTCATAGTTTTAAGCTACCATATTTAGTGTAATTTGTTAAAGCAGCCTCAGGAAATAAATGCACTTCTCTTTTAACATGACCACCTGTATCCAAATGTTATAGTTTGTTTTCCTCCTTAAAAGGACAGAAGTCCTTATATCAAAGATGTTTCTCAAGCTTTAAGTACAGAGATGAAGAGTTAGAGAGCAGGGTTTCTCAACCTCGGCACTCGTGACACTTAGGGACCAGAACATTCTTTGTTGTGGGGCCGTCCTCTTCCTACCCACTAGATGCCAGTAGTTCCTTCCCACTAGTTAGGACAACCATAAATGTCTCCAAACATTGCCATGTGTCAACTGTGGGACCAGACTACCCCCTGTTGAGAAACACCAAGGTAGAGTACCAGCTCCATCACTAAGTAGCTGTGTGGCCATGGGCAAGTTAGATACCCTCTCTGAGCCCCAGTTTCATTACCTATAAAATAAAAACAGTCCCTATATCACAGGGTTTTTATAAGGATATTCAAATGATGTAATATATGTAAAGGCCTTAGAACAGTGCCTGGTAACTTGCAAAGTATTTAATGCAGGAAAAGATTATTAATCCATTCTCTGTCATACTACTTTGTCACGCTATTTTTTTGTAGTTTCCATTATAGAATTAATGGCCATTGAAAACACTTTCCAAACAGTAACTTCTGTTATAGATATGCACATATGTTAGGCCGGGCACAGTGGCTCATGCCTGTAATCCCAGCACTTTGGGATGCCGAGGCAGGTAGATCACTTGCGATCAGGAGTTCAAGACCAGCCTGGTCAATATGGTGAGACCTCCTCTCTATTAAAAATAGAAAAATTAGCCAGGTGTGGTGGTGTGCGCCTGTAATCCCAGCTACACAGGAGGATGAGGCAGGAGAATGGCTTGAACCCAGGAGGTGGAGGTTGCAGTGAGCCAAGATCGTGCCTCTGCACTTCATCCTGAACAATAAAGCCAGGATCCCTCTCAAAAAAAAAAAAAAGATGCACGTATGTTTTGAAATTAAACGTCCTTCCTTCATTGCCCTCCTCTCTTGCCTTTCAGCTCCCCAGTGCTATGCCTAAGAGTTGAGGTATCATGGCTAAATTTGTATGCATATATTGCCTGTCAGTTATGCTAACTCACTGAACTCTTTATATAATTCCCTGGATAAGCTGTAACAACAAGCAAAACCCCTTCCATCTGTCAGTGATAGTTCTATTATTCCATAATTACAGCCTTCTCCTTGGTGACGTAGCTGTTGCATTCACTTAGGAATGTGTCAGTATCTCCATTCAAATGTGTGAAATATTTAGCAGTGTTTAGCAGGTTTTGGTGAAATGTTAGAATGTGATTTGAATAGATACCATCATATACTTTTGCAAGGAAGAGGAATGTACTCCAACTGTAACCCAGGTCACTATATCTCTAAAACACAGGAGACAAAGCAGTGAATAAGATGAAGATCCCTGTTCTCAATGAGTTTGCATTCTAGCACACTAGAATAATTACATG